AAGGCCCTACTTGGCCTGGTGGCAGGGGAGCAGCAGGGCCTCCTCCGCGGACCAGATCCACACGCTTAGCAGGCCTAATCCGGCCCACAGAGGCCCTTTTGCCTACCCCTGAGCTACTGGCTATGTTCACTAGTTGCTGTTCATATAATATTTAGATGCCATCCAACCATTTTTTTCCCCAAGAAACTCACCAGAGGGTTACCTGAGTTTCACCACATAGCAGTAGAGGTCCTGATTCTACAAATGTTTAAATATGTGACAATTTAATGTACAGCTTTACATTGAACACTAATCTACACAACAATAAGGAATCTCAATAGGATGTCGGCTTTGGACTTGTTGGTAGAGATGGGGACATTTGATCTCTGATACCAGCCTCTGACTAACAGATTTTGAATACTTCTTTTAAGCTTTGCACACTACACACAATCACATTTCAAGCAATACACCCAAATGCAATAGCTAAAGAATCAGGACAAACAGGAAATATATAATGTAAACATGGACCTTACGGGTTCAAATTGCATCTGTTTACATTATGTGTAAGTCTGCCCTTTAACAATAGGTAAAATGATGACTGAGTGGTTTCTATAATTCTGTCTCTCTATTGTGGTTACATTCTGTTCAACTGATCTTGCTGTCAAGCTGTCAATTGATTCTTTCAGAAATAATAGCAATCTGGCCTGAGCAGAGGGCTTTTACCTCTGATATCTCTCACAGTTTGGTGATCTTAAAGGCCGTTTGTTAGGGTTTGTGTTTGTTCCAACTTTTGTCCACCTGGCAGGGCATTTTCTTACGATTTATTGTATTTTTGCTGGAAAAAGCCAACATTTAGCAATTTTTTACTTTTTTGTACGGTTCCCAAATACTGAGGAAATGGCCACCATGTATAAATGCTTGAAATAAATATACAAACTCTCCTTTTATTTTTATAAGTGCTAGTTGAATTAAGATGTACAATTTCCCTTTAATTTAAATGGCAGCCTAAAAAATAAATATGAACCTAGAGTGGGGTATTGTGTGAAATAATTATCTGATACCAATAGAAGGCTAATAACAACTGCTCTTTACTATAAAGATAGCAATAATATACATGTATGCTTCTTATGTATATATAAAATGTTTTTGTGTTCAATAATTTATTGAAATCTAAGTAATGGTGTCATAAATCCAGACAATAATATCAAATAGGTACAAAAGCCATATGATAGGGTAAGTGTAATTATTTCAAAATAAGCTGCATATTTCCCCATTTCTTTTCCAACTCATTTGCGTTGTTTTATTCCGGTTGAAACTTGCTTCATGATCACTTCCACTCACATCAGATTGATCCATATAATACTTCATGGTCCACTTAGGATTAATTCAATGATTTTGTTTTCCCATTCTCAATGTATGCAAGGATTTTTGCTTTCTAAATATTACAGACTGAAACGCTACTCCAATTTTCCAGGTATTTGCTTCACAAAATATCATATCAATACATAGTACTCATACTTTTTGCCAAAACCAATTTCAAAGGTTTCATGACAATAGTAGGAGATATCTTAATGTGAATTATTTTTAACAGTACTGTTAACAAAAATATTTATATTAAGGAAATGTAACTATAGAAACAAGTTAAAGGGCTAATTTTTCAGAAGTGGCAAGCACTGGAGATCCTGTTTTCTTCTACTGATGTTGTGGGCTCTTAGCACTTCTGAAAATTAAACCCTAAAATAGGGGGAAGAGGGAGGAAACAGAACACAGATGGGCTATATACTGTCCTTAACTCACCCTGCTTAATTTAGCAATTGCAGGCATTTCAGAACAATAATATCCTGCATACTATACATGGTAATTTTTTGAGATTAACTCATCCTTTCCCCCTAATTTATATCTACAGGCTCAGGTCTCCTGCTAAGGATGACTGGAAAGAGACTCTTTAGAAACAAACAACATGGCTCCTTATTTGGCTAGAAAGATTGTTATTGAGTTATGCAAGATACTCTCTTCCGTCTCCAGAGACTCAGTAATGCTGCCACAGCACCTAAAGTGTTGGAAGCAGAATGAAATTAGGAATCAAACAAGATTTCCCATAAGAAAACAATATCAACAAGTTACCATGTGTAGTATGCAGATTACCACACTGATCTGAAATGCCTGCAATTGCTAGACTAAGCAGAGTGAGTTAAGGATAGTACAGCTCATAGCACAAGTCTAGCTTTGGTGAAGAAACTGGGTAAATAAAACATTTGGTCTAGCAGTTTAATTTAACTACCAACTGCTATAGAATGTATTGACTCCTTTCTATATAAAAATAAATGCTTTAGCTGGGTAGCTCAAGATATTGAATTTTGAGAAGATACCCAACACTACGGGATGATAATTAAGGGTCTTCTCTTCTATATATCCACAGGTGTTTTAGGGCCAAATTTTCCAAACCATTCTGTTTATACAGTTTTGCAAATGCAAACCAGCAAACTAGTTAGTTCAATGATGCATGAGAATTATGGTGTTTCCATGCGCAAATTCAGGCCCTGATTCTGCAGACACTTTATCCACATGCATAATATTCAGCATGGCTGTGTCTACACTGGCATCCCTTCCGGAAAAGGGATGCTAATGTAGCACTTTGGAATAAGCAAATCTGTGGGGGATTTAAATATCCCCCGCAGTATTTGCATTAACATGGCTGCCGCTTTTTTCCAGCTTGGAGATAAGCTGGAGAAAAGCGCCAGTCTAGACGTGATTCTCCGGAAAATGAAGCCTTTTCTGGAGGATCTCTTATTCCTACTTTCAAGGACGGCGCTGCGGGACCAACCCGGCAGGACCACAGCTGCTCTGCCCCAGGGGTCCCCGATTCAGCCGCTGCTGAAACAGATCAGCGGCTGATTCCAGGAAGCCCCGGGCAGAGCAGCTGATCTGTCCCAGGCGTCCCAAAGAGCAGCTGGAGTGCTGCTGGGTTGGTGCCGTAGCGCCGCCCCTCTATTGCAGGGATCCC